AAGTTGCTGAATAAACAATGGTTGGAAGATGATCCGAAAGAAATGCACCTGTTGGATTACGTTTCCAAGTTTTGGTCCAAACTCTTACGTGCTTGTGAATTGGCTGGAGATAAATTGAAGTCATCCCAAGTTAAAATGAAAAATGGTTATGACCGCAAGACTGAAGAGCGTAAGTTCCGTTCTGGTGACATGATCTTGGTACTGTTACCCACTATGGAACATCCGATTAAAAGAAAAAAGGAAAGAAAGAAAAAAAAACAAGGAGACTGTAAGATTGGAGTTTATCATTACAGGAGTATGATTTGGAGATAATCCGTGTCAAAGGGGTTGATAACAGTTGTGCTGATGCTTTTTCACGTGCTTTATAATTTTGTGACATAAGGTTATTTGTATTGATTGTATTGTATACTGTCATGATTATTGCATTTGTATAATTCTTTGATAATGTATTATATATAATGTATTGTTGTCAATGTATATATATATATATAATATCTTAGTTAAAAATCGTCTAACGCCAATTTTTAATTCTCTAAGGAGGGAGGTGTGACGTATTTGTTATTATACATTTATTTTAATATCGATATTTGTTGAAGTTAAATTTGTATTTAGAAATGTGCATAATTTATACTGTTAAATCTGTATTGCTAAATTCCCGCCTATTCTTTAAAGCTGTAGACGATTCTCGAACGTAAGAATCAACAATATATGCATGTACGTAAACGCTACTGTAGCGTCAGTATTGTTGCGTAAGCTGAAGTTTCGAGAAACTCAGTAACATCAGTAATTTTTTTAGTTTACATTTTTACGTGGCTCACATGCCATTAGGGACTCTGTAACTAATAAAGTTATTGACCTACATGCAATTTAGAGTATAGATAATTTTTTAAAAATGTTTTCAAAAAAGCACTAGGGCTCATTGGATAATTCTAGGGTTGATAAAACACGACTAAGAGGAAGGCTTGAAATTATATGTAGGACTGTTATATAAGCTATTTCATATACTTAAGAGCGCGCTCTAGCGATCACTCGATATAATAAAGTTTACCAAATGTTGGAAGTTATTTGGGTGAGCAAAAAACGTATTACAGACTAAGACTTATGACTAAATTCATGTATCCGGAGGCTATGTATTTTCTCATGGTTGTCATTAAGTAAGAAATTATTTAATTCAACAGTTTTTCTACACTTGCGCAGCATGTATCATGAATGCTTGGGTGAAGTAACTTTTCATAGATTTCAGAACTTAGTTACAAATGTAATTAAAACAATCCATGTGTTTAACTCATTAACACGGTACTTAGAATGTAATGATACAGGCTTGAGCTGAAACAATACCAATTCCGAACTGTGTGTACAACAGCGCAACATTTCTATTATGCATTCTGTACAGTATATTGTTTCTTAATGAGCATTTCAAGGAACCTGTGTAGAGTTTTGGTCAGCAGGTGGGAGGAACTATTTCTCTTTAAATCGAAACGAATCTAGAATTCATTCTCCGACATTGTATATGTTTGTTTTTGAATTTCGCGCAAAGATACACGAGGGCTATCTGCGCTAGCCGTCCCTAATTTAGCAGTGTAAGACTAGAGGGAAGGCAGCTAGTCATCACCACCCACCGCCAACTCTTGGGCTACTCTTTTACCAACGAATAGTGGGATTAAACGTCACATTATAACACCTCCACGGCTGAAAAGGCGAGCATGTTTAGTGGGACAGGGATTCGAATTCGCGACCCACAGATTGCGAGTCGAGTGCCCTAACCACCTGCCCATGCCGGGCCCCATGGTATATGACATGTACGTATGTTTTATAGAGTGAACACGATTCAAATACAAAATACTTTTGAAAAATTGGTTTCTTACGTTAATTTTGTAGCAGATGAAGAAAAATATATTTTCTTTTACGTCCCAGTAGCTCAGCGATAAGTATACTGGCTTACGACGCTAATTACCGGGTTTCGATATCTGTTATGAGAAGAGCGCAGATAGCTAACCCATTATTTAGCTTTGCGCATAACGACAACCAAACCACACTTTTCTTCTGACATTCATGTTTGTTCATCCTATTAATAATAATCATGATCAGTGTATTAAGTAACACTTTAGTCACACCTAAAGGATTGGTAGAGAACGGAAGCATAGTAAAGATGGAGCTCACAAACTTAACAGCCTGAAGTTATAATGTTCATCAACTGATTCAAAACGAATACTATGTGCTGCACTCTTGTTGTCAACACAATATGGCTGACCTGTTATAGTGAAGTGAAAAAAAAACGCTTAATGACTACTCGCTTCAGAAACTGTGCTAAGACCTGGATGCTTCTGTCTTCGGGAGTAATCGAAAGAGCTAAGGTGAATCCATTAGTAAACTCATCTAGATTAACGCACGCTTTCTGTGTTCGGAGCTTAGTAAGATGGTAACAACACATCAGTACATAGCTCTTTGATAAAGCGTGCTTTGTTCAGTTGACAACGCCAAGAAGTGACATGTTACATAGTCTCTGTGGAATGGCTTTGAATGGAGAGCTTCACATTGGAGCTCAATTAAGAACACCAAAATAAAATGGATGAAGGTAGCACACTTTAACCTTCGTGAGCATAGGAAACTGTAGTCAATAAGATTGTTAGTAATAGGTTTTTGTAAACATAAATAATATTTAATAGCGCTTGTACTAAACTAACTTATGTTTCTTTCCCAACGCAATAAATACAGCAAAAATATGGTAATTTAAATACTATGTACTTTAAATATTGTGTACTTTAAATATTATTTACATTAAATATTGTGTACTTTAAATATTATGTACATTAAATATTGTGTACTTTAAATATTATGTACATTAAATATTGTTTTTTGATATTGTATATTTTAAATATTGTGTATTTTAAATATTATGTACTTTAAATATTTTAGCTTTTAAATATTATGTACATTAAATATTGTTTTTTAATATTGTGTACTTTAAATATTATGTATTTTAAATATTGTGTATTTTAGATATTATGTACTTTAAATATTGTGTATTTTAAATATTGTATCCTAAATATTATGTACTTTAAATATTATGTACTTTAAATATTGTGTATTTTAAATATTATGTACTTTCTTACATGAACTGAAAAGCTCATTAAATATCAAATTAAAGAATTGTCATTCTTTTACAATCCACGGGTAAGAAACCGTATCTACAGCGAACAATGTGTGTATTTTTTTACATCAAATTTTCATATGTAACTGGCTGTATCTAGGCAAATAATTTTAAGCGTGTACATGTTAAATGTTTCTTCTTTGAAATCCATTTATCTTCTGTTTTGCAGTTAAATTTGAGTTAGCTGCTGTAGAATCAATAAGAGCTGGCAGTTAAATTTGAGTTAGCTGCTGTAAAATCAACAAGAGCTGGCAGTTAAATTCTTCTGGATTAAAGCAATTTGGATAGTGATCATCTGTTAAAGCTCAGCTTGGTTTTATGTTTTGTATGTTTTCCTGCGAGTCTATAGAATATACTTAGGTTGTTAGTTTGGAAATACTTAGGATTTTTTGTAAATGACTCTAGCTGTTAATTAGTTATTTAATGAGCTACTCGGCTTTTTGTTTAAAATCACAAACTTTAAAGTAACCACATTTTAGATGTTTCTATTATGTTGAGAAATGAAAAAAAAAGCTTTAGTAGAAACACTATTTAGTACGATGTATGTTTTCAAAAATATTAACAGTGTTAGTTACTACAGTTTTTTGTACTCATATGGATTGTACGTTTAGTTTTACCTTGATATGTTTAGTGTTACTCCGCTATATTTAATTTTACCCCAATATGTTTACTATTACCCTAACACGTTTAGTGTTATTCCGATGTGTTTAGTGTTACCCCAATATACTCAGTGTTACTCTGGTACGTTTAGTGTTTCCCCAATATGTTTAATGTTACTTAATACAATTAGTGTTTTACCGATACGTTTAATATTTTCCCGATATGTTTAGTTGTTTTTTTTTACCCCGATAAGCTTATTGTTTTACCGTTATGTTTCATATTACCCTGATATGTTTAGTCTTATCCCGATATGTTCAATGTTACCCTGATACATTCAATATTACTATGATACGTTTAATGTTCCCCCGATATGTTAGTATTACCCCGATATGTTTATTCTTACTACGATACATGTTTAGTTTTATTACACCAATACATTTAGTGTTACTTCGATGATGTTACCGTAGTATGTTACCCCAACACGTTTCGTTTCTAACGTTTCAGATTACACCTGTACATTAGTTTATTAGACCATTGAAATTCAGTGGTCTTTGTGGTTGCTATAGATAACAACGGTTTTCTAGTTAGTTGACCGGTATTAATTACGATAATAACTTTTTCTATGTAGATACAACAATCGTAAAAGCTATTTAATTAAACTAGGAAATATTATAAATTTTAATGAAAAAAGAAACAGAAATGTCATAGGTTAATGTTCTTTAATCGACAAATGTCATAACTGTGGCCTGACTGTACGATGTACACCGATATAATCTTGCTCTTAATATATTCTAAACCGGAAGTGATATTCCTGGCTTCTTTTTTTTTTGCGCATAGGGATCGAATAAACTGTAATATTATAATAAATGTTAGTGGCATTAAGTCACTCGCATTTGAACATGATATTTTGTGTGGCAAAATGTAATTAGAAATTATTTGGAAAAAAAATATGTATATATATGTAGCCATGTTCCACAACTTTCGTAAACAATAAGCTGAAAAAATCCTAAACTGACGGTTATCTTTTTAAACGTTTCCAAATTTTTGGTTATTTTTTTATATAAAGTTCAACCCGTTGCAAGAAAGGGTAAACATTTAACTTTCTATTTAGGTTTATCCTTGCTATGCTATTATTCAATTCTGAAAAAAAACAAAAAACTCAGTGTTATGATGTCTTGTCTGATAAATTTATTTGTAACTGAAATCTGTCGTATTGACTCAATCGTCATGAAATCTTTTTTTTTTTCAGAACGAAAGAGGCAGAAGCTATGTATGAACAAGCGTTACAGTTTGATACTCACAACCCAGACCTTTATCATAATGTAAGTACAACGAAACTTTTAGATGAAAAACCATGTAATACAGTTCAATTATTTGCTAGCTTACAATAATTATATTGTATATGAAGAAGAACAGTTTTGAGCACTGTCACTCTTCGCTAGTTCAGCTAAATACAAATATACGTGAAAAAGCCATGTTATGCATGTAACTGACGATGTCACCTAACGGACGTTAATACGTCGTGTAATAGAGTTAAATACGTTACTACGAGAAATAATTATTATGATGTCACTTTCAATAAATCTGTTCAATATGCACGACTATAAGGCAGGCCACTGAGTACAATCATTTGCTATCAATATATCTGAGCTGTATAATGGGAGTTGATTCCGCTCAAAACTGTAGTTGCCAGCAGGTCGCTTTGATGCTCGACGTAAACTTATGTTCATTATTATTACTAGCGAAAGTACTCGGCTTCTCTAAGCAGCAAGATATAAAAGCCGTTGTTGGAACGCATTGTTACCAAAACACACTGGCTTTTCTATATATTAAAAGTGGTTATATAAGGAATCACTTCTTTTCTATGTGGTTTTTCGCTAGCTTGCCTCATTAAAAAGATGCGCATGCGCGTATGCACTTGGATAAAATAAGTAATACCCAGGGTCCACTTAGTATGGGTTCAAAATTTTAGGTTTCTAGGTTCTTTCCTCCTGGAACTATGGCGGTCACACACACACAGACACGCACGTGCATGTATGTCTGTCTGTAATTTCTGTTTGCAATACAAGGAACCACTTCTTTTTCATGTGGTTTTTCGCCAGCTTGCCTCATTAAAAACATGCGCACGTAATGCATGTAACTGACATGTCACCTAATAGACCTTAATACGCCACGTAATAGAGTTTAATACGTTACTACGTGAAATAATTGTTATGGTGTGACTTTCAATAAATCTGTTCAATACGCATGACTATAAGGCAGACCACTGAGTTCAGTCATTTGCTATCAATATATTTGAGCTGCATAATGGGAGTTGATTCTGCTTAAAACTATAATTACCAGCAGGTCGCTTTGATGCTCGACGAAAGCTTATGTTTATTATTATTATTATAATTTAATTTTAAAAATGTGTTAAGGATATATATTCATATAAATACTCGAAACATCGTACTTTCTCTGAAACAACACTGAATGTTTTTTTATGACTGCACTTTCTTTTTTCTCTATAACTTGAAGTGTAATTATAGTATGTTAAATTCCCAACTATAATTCAAATTCACATAGTTTATTTCGTATGTCATTTTAATCTCTGGTCCGGCATGGCTAGGTGGTTGGGGAACTCGACTCGCAATCTGAGGGTCGTGGGTTCGAATCTCCGTCCCACCAAACATGCTTGTCCTTTCTGCCGTCGAAGCGTTATAGCGTAACGGTCAATCCAACTATTCATTGGTAAAAGAGTAGCCCAAGATGACCAGCTGCCTTCCCTCTACTCTTACACTGCTAAATTAGGGACGGCTAGCGCAGATAGCCCTCGTGCAGCTTTGTGCGAAATTCAAACCAAATACATCAACGACTAAGTTTTGTTTTGTTTAACTGTGTCGTCATAGATCTGTGTTACGTGTTCTTCACCCACCAACCTGACAGCTAACAGTTATCTCATTTTGGATTTAAAGAAATGCATATATAATACAAAACTGTTTGTTGACTTTCAAGCAAAGTTACTCGAGGGCTATCTCCACTAGTCGTCCATAATTTAAGAGACAAACTAGAGGGAATGTAACTAGTCAGTATCACATATTCCATATTACATTTTACAGTTTCATCGACTGCTTGTTCCGAACGATGAGGCCCAAAGACGACGAGAAAGAAGTTACTAAGTTATTATGACATCTTCCAAAAATACTGGCCTGGCATGGCCAGGTGGTTAGGGCGCTCGACTCGCAATCTGAGGGTCGCGGATTCAAATCCCGTCCCACCAAACATGCTCGCCCTTTCAGCCGTGACGGTCAATCCCACTATTCGTTGGTAAAAGAGTAGTCCAAGAGTTGGCGGTGGGTGGTGATGACTAGCTGCCTTCCCTCTAGTCTTACACTGCTAAATTAGGGACGGCTAGCGCAGATAGCCCTCGTGTAGCTTTGCGCGAAATAAAAAAAAATACTATTGTTGACATTTATAAACAGATGGTCGTAAAAATGTCAATAATGTTCGTATTAAAAGGTTTAAACGATTTTATTTTCAATTGTTCAATCTAATTACTTCTCATCGTAAACATTTTCTCTTTAAATCTTTCGAATTCCTCGACTCTCTGTATTTTGTTGTTATTGCTGTTAGAACTATTACACAAGTCTCACGACATTTTGTAGCTCATTTTTTGTACTTGTTTTCGTTACTAAATGTGAATATCCCTCCAGTGGGACAGCGGTAAATTGACGGGCTTACAACGCTAAAATCCGGGGTTCGATTCCCCGCGGTGGACACAGCAGATAGCCCAATGCGTCTCTGTATTATAAATCAATCAACAAATATGAACAACTTTAAAACAGCCCTCAAAGTAAAGATAATTTTAGGTAAGTTAAAATATAGGTAGTCTAGGTAACAAAAACTCTGAATCTTTCACCTCTGTTTTTTTTTCTCTTCAGCTAGGTGTGTTGCTGATGGATCAACGAAAGAGTCAAGAGGCTTTAGCCATGTTTAATAAAGCTTTAGATATCGACCCAGATCACGAAGTACGTACTGCTTGAACATTAAGCTGTATAACTATTTGAAAGTAGTAGTCTCCGTGACAAATACACTTTCTAGCTTTCACTATCACTCTAGCAGTTTTAAACAATTCTTTCATTGTGCTTGAGTTTGTTTGTTTTTTGTCTTGTTTTTGGTTTATCAACTATCATGAATATGTAATAAAGATGCAGATAAATCTAATATTTGGAATACAAATGGAAAGTGTGTGTTAGTTAAGGACAATTCCTGACAATAAACTCATTATACTTCCTTAATATTGATTAATAATCGCTGAAATATTATATTATGTTGGTATTGAAATACGTGTTACTGTTATCAATGATTCAGGTTACGAATATAATTCAGAAATGTGGTACTTTAACCAAATGTACACCAATTGTCGAGAACAATATCATACATTTACGTTTGTCTACAGTATGTTTGTCTATTTGTGCTAGGCCAAGTCGTTAACTTGATTTTTAAAAAAAATAACTTTTCATCTTTCTAATTAGATTCAGACCGTAAGAGGGAGAGAGAGAATCAGATTGTTTAATTGAAAACTCATTTCTAACATTTTTCCTTTTTTGTTTACATTTACAGAAATCGCTAATAAGCTCTTCCATTTTGATTCAAGAATCCGATATGGCCCTCCATCACAAACAGCTAGCGAGTGAAAGGTAAGGTTAAACGAATTTTGTTTAAAAAAAATTATCTCATTAACTCAAAACCTCCTGGTTTAAGAAAACAGCTTCAGAAAACTGTACGTTTTCGATCATGGTAAGTTTCTCAGTTCAATCAAATACTAGTTTATTTTAGCAATTTTTTTTTTTTGATAAGCTGTATACTTCCAAGTTGTTTAAATCGGGACACACCACAAAGACAGTTGGGTTTTCTCATTGGGACTTGGAAACAAACTTAAATATAAACAGTAAATCATTAACCGAAAAACGTAATGATTAAAAACAGTGGTAGAGATGTTATGTGATGTTGTTATTTAAGAGAAACCAAATCGATCACCTGTGCCTAAAGGCTTCAAACTAACCAACAACTTCAAAACAAGTATTACTCACTTTAAGAATGTTATGCTGCTCTACATTCAACAGCAGAAATTTTACTAAATGTTATCGAAAGTTCTTTTTTTTTCTCGGAATATGGCCAAAGTATTGCTCGTAGCTTTCAAAAATGGTAAAGCTTTAAAGTTATTTTCTTTAAGTTTCAAACGTTTGCGTACTGTGGGTAATTTTTTTTTACATTTTTGATTGATAGGTTAAATTAATATTTACATAATTTTTTTGTTTGTTTACACAGGTTACAGAAAATGGTAGACGGAGGTAAACAAAATGAGCTCATTTACTTCAATTTGGGGATGCTAGCTATAGAAAATAAAGATGTGCATGGAGCTGAGCAATGGCTAAACAAAGCTTTACAGGTATGTTTGTTTACAGTCTCTGCCGCAGGCTTCAAACAATACTTTATAGGTATGTTTGTCTACAGTCTCTGCCGCAGGCGTCAAACAATACTCTACAATACTCAGTTACAGTAGTTGAGGGCGTGGTTAGCAATTTTCCGGATCAGTTCCGCCAACAGTTTTCAATGGGATTTACAATCTGGAGACTTTTCTGGCCATGACAATCTTGTAATGTTCTCCTGGTCGAGATGAACCTGTACAGTGTGCGCACTGTGGGCAATGGCATTGTCATCCTGGAACACAATGTTATTGCTAAACCTTGCCCTAGCATATGGCAGAAATATCGCATTCATGTGATACCTGTAGAAAACGCCATTGACGTTTCCCTGGATGGTATGAAAAGTAGTTTTTCCACCATGATGAATGGCTGCCCAAACATGTACTGCACCACCTTCTGTGTGTTCCCTATGGGAAAGACAGTCTTCCCTCATCTGTTCACCAGGCAAATGACGAACACGAGTCCTATCATCAGCTTTAACATCTGAAAATATGACATGTCATCAGTGTCCTAACTGTAAGTTGGCATGCTGTCTTGCTCAAGTAACACGTTGACTGCGGTGAATTATGGTTAACATCGGCTTGCAGATAGCCCTTCTTGCAATATAACTTTATTTGGTTAGTCTCTTGTTCATTGTTCTTCTGGATGTCCTGGAATTAATGTGCTCATGCCATTCCTATTGTAAGGTGTTGCAAAACTTCTTTCGACCTCGACGTGTTAACCTGATTAAAACACGGTCATCTCGGGCAGTAGTTTATCGGGATCTACCAGTAGCCTTCCCTGGAACAACGTTTCCTGTAGTCCGATGACGTTTCAGGATTCTGGATACAGTACATTGGGAGTACCCTAATGTTCTGGCAATATCCGTTTGCTTCATACCATTTCTGGACAGTCGAAAAATTTGACGCCCTATAACTTCTGGAACGCGACGAGGCATGACTCTACATCTAGTACTGAGAAATTGTCTGAACAAAGCATTGATCTATTTTGAAGAAAAAAAATTATACCAAAACCGACCTTTTTTGTACAAAACCTTTATTTTTTCATTGCCACTAAAATGTAACAAAGTAAGTGACATATCCCTCCAATACCGCTGACAACTGTTTGAATGAAAATGAACTTCTTTTAAACGGTTCCTGTCTTGAGATAAAACTCATTAAGTCTTATATTATGCCATTCGTTTATTATTATTATTTTTTGGAATAATTTTTTGTGTATTAAAAATGCGTTTAAAAATCCGTTTAACCATTCAGATGACTTTCTAACCGAAAAAGAACAATATAAAGTCATTAATCCAATTAAATTCATACTCATCTGATAAATTTGTTCCTCACAATATCACATTGTACATAACACTGGAGTATTTAGACGCCATCGTGTGTCGTAACAATTTTAGTGTCCAGCAAATTGCTCCATTTCTGACAATCACCCTGGTGTTTATCCCTGAGGGTTAACCTAAATCATGTTACCAATAACAACAACAAAAAATTCATACGGGTTTATGTATTCTATTAACTTGCAAAGAATTTCGTTTATCATGTGAGAATATAACATTCACCAACAGCTTTTGTGTAACGTTGAGAAAAATTATCATACTAGTGAAATAACATTTGAAATTCGTGAAGTAATTTTCCATGTAACACGCGCGCAATTTGTAATATATGCTTTTGTACTGTAACTTTTATAAAAAAAAATTAAAATCATGTATATTAGTAACACTAGAGCGGTCACCAAGCCAACTAATAATGTCACTACTCTAAGGCTGTCACGAAACCAAATAATAACAACTTATCACCAGGACAGTTACCAAGGCAACTAATAACGACGTAACATTAGATAGTCAATCACCAAGTCAATTAATAGTGAAATGACGCTAGAACTGTCAACAAGCCAACTAATAACGACGTAAGACTAAAGCAGTCACCCAGCCAATTAATAAAGACTTAATTCTAGAATTTTCACCAAAATAACTAATAACGACGTAACACTAGAGTACCATGTCAACTAATAACGCCGTAACTCTAAAGCAGTCGTTAACTTAACTAATAATAACGTGACACTAGAGCACTCACCAAGCCAACTAATAACGACGTAAGACTAAAGCAGTCACCGAGCCAACTAATAAAGACTTAATTCAATAATTTTCATCAAACTAACTAATAACGACGTAACTCTAAAGCAGTCGTTAACTTAACTAATAATAACGTGACACTAGAGCACTCACCAAGCCAACTAATAACGACGTAAGACTAAAGCAGTAACCGAGCCAACTAATAAAGACTTAATTCAATAATTTTCATCAAACTAACTAATAACGACGTAACTCTAAAGCAGTCGTTAACTTAACTAATAATAACGTGACACTAGAGCACTCACCAAGCCAACTAATAACGACGTAAGACTAAAGCAGTAACCGAGCCAACTAATAAAGACTTAATTCAATAATTTTCATCAAACTAACTAATAA